GTCTTGGTGCAAATGCTCTCAGTGTACATAAAAGAAAAGATACATTCGTCAAGAGTCAAGAATCATAAGGTACAACACTTAATAATAGTCATAGGGTACAATAAGCAATCAAATCATACTAGGAAGCAGTCAATATAGATCGTAAGGATACAAGCAATCAAGTTACAATCATACAGTCACAGAAGATTTCCAATGTCCCTTCCTAAATTCGAAATTCAGAATAAAGCTGGAAGGGACCTTGGAGGTCTTCTAGTCCAACTCCCTGCTCAAGCAGGAGACCCTATCCCTGGAATACTAGGAGTTGAAGTCCACAAGTCTTAAAGTTGTCAAGTTTGGAGACCTCTGCCCTAGTCCTTCTTTTCTCTAGACTAGCCATACCCAAATCCTTCCAACCTTGTTATCCTGAGTTATTTTAAACCAAATTCGATCTGTAATTCCAGCCCATATTTTGAAGATTTGTCCAAATTTGTCCTTGGGATTTCAAATTTTTTAAAATTCTATAAGCGTATCCCCAATCCTAGAAGAATTGCCCATGATGCAATCTTTCACCTGGTGGCTTCATAATCCTGTTGCCATGCCAGGATTGACACAACCGCTTCCCTGCTCACAATTTAAATGCATTGTCTCTGCCTCCCTCTCTGTGTCCGTCTGTCTGTCTCAGTGTCTGTCTCTGCTTCTGAAATTCCGCAGAGCTTATTAAAATACCTGAAGGATTAAGATCATGGAACTCAAAGAAAAAACTTATCTAACTTGGGTTGGATGCCTGGTGACTGTAGGAAACTCCATTCGAGGAGCTTCCTTGGCAATATTATTTAAATGGGTTTACTCTTTCTGCAGGGGTGTAGGGATGCAAATATTTATACTACCAGTTCTGTGGGCATGGCTAGGTGGGAGTAGTGAGGTGGGAGTGGTCATGTGGTTGGGTGGGCATTTTTATTTTTATTTTTTTGTAGCACTCCCCCCCCCCCCCCCCCGCTCTGTTTTTTGGCCTCCTGGGCCTCAGGGAAGCCTCCTGGACAAAGTAATAAGACAGTGAGGGGGATCCCAGCACAGCTGATCGTTAGAACAGCTGATCGTTGGAACAGCTGATCGTCGGAAGGAAAAAAGAGATACATTAAGGGGTGACTGGGCAGGGGAGAATACAGTCAGCGGTGTTGGGCATGTGTGCATTGTTGCACATGCGCACTAAGGACTGACTGAGCAGGGAGGGGAGTGGCAGGTGGAGGGGGTGGGGGTGCTGGTTCTCCGAACTGTGCAGAATTGTAACAACCGAATCTATAGGACCGGTCTGAACCGGTAGAATGCCACCCCTGTCTTTCTGGGATGTTTTTCAGCTCTTCAGTTTATCCTACTTATCCTGCAGTTTCCTGATAGACACCCTCCTAATTCTATCCCAAAGGTGCTTTTTCCAAAAGACTATTGGACCTTTTTGGATTTTTTTCTTTGCAAATGTTTTGCTTCTCATCCAAGAAGCTTCTTCAGTTCTTCTTGGATGAGAAGCAAAATGCTTTCAAGGGAAATAAAACCCCCAAATCCAGGTGCCTTTGGGACAACCAGGACTTTGGTGATGGAGAATCTCCATGAAGATCCCCTAATCCTAATGAGATCCAACTTTGATAAACATCCACGATGGCACCATTTAGGAACTAGAGAGACTGAAAAGTAGTAGCTGGTTTGTGGGAGCATCAGAAGTTTAATGTCTCTGTGGTTTGGCCTGCTGCTCTAGAACCCATGATGTTCTCCTAATGGAGTGCTCTTCCATGTGGCTGGGAATTCTGGAACAGGTTGTCAAGGGTTGGAAAAGAATGAGATGGGGCTGCAATGTAATGACAATTCCACAACGACTTGCATTTGAACAGGCAGTGGGACGTCCTGGACACCCAGGGTCATCATTGGAGCCTCACCTGGAGGCCCCACAGCACTTACAAGTGGCCAAACACTTGCCGTCCTCCATGGAAACAAATGAAGCCAATGATTTGGAAGAGCTGGAAAAATTTGCCAAGACTTTTAAGCAGAGGCGCATCAAACTGGGGTTTACGCAGGTGAGAGGCGTCTCAGGCCAGCTGGACAATTCATGGACCTTCAACTACAGGGGAAAAAAAAACTTTTTGCTCCCAACCAGAGCAGTACATTGGCACCAGAGGGCAAACTTTCAGTTCTGTTCTAAGAGGAGCAATCAAATAAACTCTGTTCTTCTCTTCTCTTCTACTCTACTCTACTCTACTCTACTCTACTCTACTCTACTCTACTCTACTCTATACTCTAAATACCAGTAAACACACAAGTGCAAGGCATGGAAAAGAGGGCCAAAGTTTCAGTGAAAGAGGCACACCCACTATCTTGACTTTTTGGACTTTCTCTGTAGATGCCACTGGTTCAAGCCTTTGACTCTGCTTGAATTGAGTCCTGCACATTTCCTTATTTCCTTCCTTCTTTCCTTCCTTCCCTTACTGCCTTCTTCCTTCCTTCTCTCCATTCTTTTTCTTCCTTCCTTCTTCCTCCCTTTTCTCTCTCTCCTATCTTTTCCTTCCTTTCTTACTCCCTCCCTTTCTTTCCTCCTTCTTTCCTTTCCTTGCTCTTGTAAACGACCTGTGGATTAATCAATGAAGAACTTTTTTTTTTTTACAACAAAGGTATAATTTGTTGATTCTAATTAATTTTTCACTTATTTAGTTTTTTGCCTAATTTGTACCCACATGCTCCTTAGAAAGATTAATTGTGGCTTTACAGTATTATAATAGCGAGTATAATTAGCAGGCATAGTTAACCCTATTACATCGTTCTATTGCAATGATGTGCTCCAGTATAATTAATATTTAATGTACTCAAAAAGAAGATGGCCTTGGATTGAATGATTCTCCTGCAGAAGGGACAGAATAAGCCCAAAGAAGAACCCTAGGCAATATTCAGCTAATAAATCCATGGCCTCACTCTCCCAGGTTTCTGACATCTTCTCCTCTCCATAGGGCGATGTGGGTCTGGCTATGGGGAAACTCTACGGAAATGACTTCAGCCAGACTACCATTTCTCGCTTTGAAGCTCTCAACCTGAGTTTCAAGAACATGTGTAAGCTAAAACCACTCCTGGAGAAGTGGCTGAGTGATGCAGGTACGGTTATATTTAAGGGGTTCATTAATGTTCCGCCTTCTTCAGAGCAGTGTTTACTGGCCGGATGCCCTTCCTGACACCCAAGTGGAGCTCACAGCAAATATGGCCTGGAGTTCAATCCTAGGGAGTGGCAGATATTATCCGGCCAACAAATGCTCAGCTCCATTCAGTTGCCCCCAACTCCACCCCAAAGCAAAGGTATAACAAGGTCTTTAAAAGAAAACAATGTTCTGCCTTCTTCCATTTCTAACTCTTTGTTCATTGGACATTTTCAATTATTTGGGAGGGGGTTGGTGGGGGAGGGAAGCACATTTTCAATGCCCTACAGAACGTCCCTAAGAACATGTGCCCATTCGATGCATTTAAACATTCTCAAAGTCTTCTGGTGGACAAGGAAAGGTTTGCAGTTGTGTTTAAGCCCAACTGGATTGTGTGACGGTGATGAACCTAATGAGCCACTAGGGGACAGAAAAGTATGTTGAAAAATACACCCTTATGTCCCAAAATACAGACGAAATAAAGGAATGGGGTGATTTCCAACCAGAAAATCATAGAATATGCCAATTTTTTTGGTAATCTTTAGGACTCTTGCTGAAATGTCCTGTTTAACGGTCCAGAAAAATACACAGTGACAGACTCAGATCGGCCTTTTGTCACATTCCGATGGAACAAAGGGACTCTTTCCAATAAAATTGCGAATAGATGGCAATACAAATCTAATAAGCAAATAAATAAAAATTATATCGAGTGAATTGCAAAAAAATATACATAAAAATTGGCTTGCCTCTTCTCCCCATAGAATCCTCCCCCCTGGACTCGTCTGTCAGCAGCCCGAGTTCCTACCCCTCCGTAAGTGAGATGTTCGGGCGCAAGAGGAAAAAACGAACCAGCATCGAGACCAACATTCGCTCCACACTGGAGAAACGGTTCCAGGACGTAAGCATGGCTATCTTCTCCTTGTGGGAAATAGGCAGGTGTCCTGGCAGGGATGCTCGAAGCAAAATGAAAATTGATCATTATTGGCCACACGTTTTCCAGCAAGGATAAGCGGAAAGACACCATAGACAAGAGATAAGCCAGGATGTAGGAAATGGGCCAGTGGGGGAGAGATCTGGCTTCTTTTCAACTAATTCAGGACTATTTCCAGCCTGAAGAACAAGTGAGTCGCCAGAAGAGAAGCTTGGAGATGTAGAAGATTCAATTCTCCCGCTTTCCTTTTTTCCTTTTGCCTCAACGGAAAGCGGTTTCTGTAAAGTGGACAGGCAAAGGGGCCCTGGAAATAGGACTCAACTCCTTCTTTTCGTCATCTCCTTAGCACCAAAAGAGGGGTGGACTTCCAAAATTTTAGCAAAGGGTTCTCTGCCTGGTTGCTGGGTGGGTGTGGCCATGGTGGGCGTGGCCTAGTTGGCCTCCTGCACCACGGTGGTGGTGGGATGTTTTTGCCTTTTCTGGGGCCCGGAGGCTTTCCTCAAGCCTCCAGGAGGGCAAAAACAGCCTCCCCAGGCTCCGGAGGCTCTTTGGAAGCCAGAAACAGGCCCATTTCCAGCCTTCCCAAACTTCCGGGAGGCCTGTTTTTCCCCGTCTCCAAGCACGTGGGCCCTGTCCTTACCTGAATCCAAAACGGGTCTCGCGGGGACTCCTGGGAGGGGCCGGGGCGGGGTGGGTGAGGCCAGCCAGCCAGGAGTGGGATTTGGGGGTTCTCCGACCTGCACAGAGTCTTAGCTAGGGGCTCTCTTGAACCCTTGCAAACCCCCAGCAGCCCAGCCCTGCACCGAAGCCTGCAGAAGGAGAAACATTGCTCCTCTCCGCCCTTCCGTCCGTTCTTACTGTTGACTTTCTCTCAGCAGAACCCCAAGCCCAGCTCGGAAGAGATAGCCCTGATTGCAGAACAGTTGGCCATGGAAAAAGAAGTGGTTCGCGTTTGGTTCTGCAACCGAAGGCAGAAGGAAAAACGTATCAGCTGTCCGATGCCCTCCCCCATAAAGTCACCCCTCTACAACTCCAGACTGGTAAGGAGGTCTGGCTGAGTCCCCTTTTTTTCCCTCTAGGAAGGAGAGAGGGAGGGGAAGGCAAGAAAGAAAAAGAGAAAAGATAAGGGGAGGGTGGGAGGGAGGGGATGAAGAAAAAAGG